TTTTTTAACACAAGTATCTGTACTTTTACTCAAGTAAGGAAAGTGAGTACTTTTGCCATCTCTGACCTGCTGTAGCTCTGACTGCAGCGCTGAGAGGGACTCCTGCGTAAGAGTCTCTTAAAGCCGCCAGTGACAACAGAAAAGTTGCTAGATTTTGTCGCTAGTCGCTTTTTTGAAAAAGAGTCGCTGGAGGGGTCTGAAAGGTGGCTAAATATAGCTGAGTTGGCAACACCGCACGGGCGAACCGGGCAGCCGGGGTGGCATTTTTATAAAGAAGGATGGGATGGGCGCTTCGAAAAAAATATAACTGGCGTTTGGAGAGGGTCTCACCCGGCGAGTAGAACCGCCACTGACCATCTATGAGTATGGCGCACATTCTTCCTGTTGCTTGGTTACGGCCGTAAACAATTTGTCTCTCTATGGCGCTGGGTTATGGCGCTGGGTTACGGGCGGTATGAAAGTACAGCTGTGGAACGGTCTGATAAACTGAAAGATCTTTATGTTGTTGTTGTTTTCTCTCTCTGTGTCTATATCAGACTGTGGGGGGCCCAAACGAGGCTGTGGCGGCTCGTTCATTAATAGAAACACTGAATTGCAAACATTTCTTCATTCTTTCTGTTATAAAAGATTGTCAGAAACAAAGAGAGCAGGCAGCCAAACCGCCTCTCCTGTTCTCACGTTGTTCCCTCATCAGCCTCCATGGGATGAAGAGTGAGAGAGAAAAACGCTGCTGTTGGAAAGATGAAGGATTTATCCTGGTCATAAAAAGCCTGAGCCCTCATCCTACAGCCTTCCTACACCCATCCTTCACCCATCCTACACCCATCCTACACCCATCCTACACCCAGGAAGGGTGAAGGATGGACACATGGAGATCAGCAGAGAGACGCAAATTCAGTTGCTGCTCAAGTTGGAAACATTGAACTTTAGCTGGTGCATGAACCATATCAACCAATCAGAGAAGCTGATCTGGGAGCTGGCAGGGAGTCAGATACAGCAATGCTGATGCAGAGCGCTATGATCACTCCTCTCAAACAGTTTATTAACGCCTAAATTAACCTAAAATGTAGAAACCTTCCGGCAGAATATGTTTGCTTTTATTATCCTGCTGCCTGCAGTCTGGATTACGAACATGAAAAACGCCTTCCAGCCGCAGCAGCAAACCGCGAGGAGGCGACCAGGCCATAGGCTGCTGTTGAATGGGATTCCTTCTGATAGTGCACCACCGGTATGTGGGGGTCTGAGCGGCTCTGACAGAAATAATATTGGAAGGCAGGATGGTAATCTGGATGAACTGACTGCACTGATGAAGTTCTCAGGTGGATTTTCTCACTGGAAAAACAAATGAAAACTACTTTATTTCCACTGATCACAGCAAATATAGCTGCAAGGCAAAGAAAGGATAGAGTAGCTCTGGCAAACGTGCATCAGATACACTTTAGCACCGTGCCGCCAGATCAGCAAAGATGCTTCAGCCGCAAATCAAAACTAAACTTGTAAAAGCATCAAAACTGAAGCAGCACGCGCGTTTCTGCTGCTTTAGATGTGAACGTAGCATTAGCCAGGGGGACTGGATGAATGTGTTGCCATGGTTACAAACACAGCTAGCTGAAACAGTTTCATGTAGAGACGTTGCTAACGGCTCCATTAGCGCTGATGACCTGACAGAGAAGAGAGCAGTCGTACCTTCGGTGGCTCGGTGGAACTCCTCACTCAGGGTTCTGGTCACGTCCGTCCAGAAGGAGTAGAGGATATCAGGCTGACCGTCCTGCCATCACAAACAGATCAAACATGTTAGGAGGAGCTCCTCTAAGATCTTCATCAACTCAGAGGAGTGAAGAGGAATCCATCCTCTCTAATCATTGATGCTTCCACTCAATCCAACTGGACTAAAACCAGTTCATCTGCCAGTATCATTACTGGACCAGTGCAGCTGCAGGAGAACCACTGGGTGGAGGGGAAGTTTCAGTGGTTTCCCTCCACCCTGATGGCTCTACCCTACAGAACCAGGGAGGAAGTGGTCACACAACCTGGATCTGCTTGTTTCCTGCAGAACAGTCCTTCTGCAGGGGGGGGTGAGGGTGCAGCTGGGAGGCGGCGCAGCTTTGCATTTAGACATGTCATTACAGCTCAGATCACACCTCTGGCTACGGCTAATTGGTGAGAGCTTTGTCACCATGGCAACAGTCTCCCACTCTGGTTCCTGCTCCCAGGATCTGTGAAAGAGGAGGCGATGATGATGATGATGATGATGATGGCTGCTGTGGTTCCTGCAGTCCATGTCCAGCTGAGGACGTTACTCCATCTGGCTTTCTGGACCAATGAATGTTTGTGATGCATCAGCATCCATCAGCATCCAGGACTGATGACCTCATTGAAGGACTGATGACCTCATTAAAGGACCGATGACCTCATTGAAGGACCGATGACCTCATTAAAGGCCCGATGACCTCATTGAAGGACCGATGACCTCATGAATTACCTCATTGAAGGACCAATAAC